CCCAGTTGACTGGATCAAGTTAAACTACTGCAAGAGCACACCTACATGACTAGCAGAGGAAGTCTAGCGCTGACAGAACACAGTTGTACAGACCCATCTACCTTTTAAAATAAAACTGTTTGTGAGGGTTCCTGATTTCCTCTGCTGAAATGCCGTGAGCTCCAAGCTGGAGCTCTGTGTGGGGATCGGTGGTGGATGCCTCCAACGTCCCACCACGCCCTACTGCTTCCCTGCAGAGCACTGGAGACTGGGCTAGTGGGGGGCTCCAGGGTCCACTCCATACCCACTCTTCGTACAGATGAAAGGCAGCAGGATGGGGTAAGTTATAGAACCAATAATGTCAGAAATAATATATTATCAAACAAATATCAAGTAACATCGAATTTAATTGCCTTTCATATACTTGTAATTGGAAGTGCTGCAGTATATACCACTGCTGTGCTGCTTTCTTCTCCCCTCTTGAATTGGATTTATAAAAAAGACTTAAATTTGGTTTATAAAAAAGGCAACATGACCATGATCAAATGGTTTTATAATAATACTGAGAGAGTATCACAGGATGTAACAGGGTATTTAAATATTTAGATGCTGTAAGAGATTACTTTCTGGAAGCAGAGCTTTAGGAGCAGTATTCTTGGTGTGTTTTGAATTATGCAGAAGGGCTGCTTCAAGACTCAGCTGTCGCAGTCTGTAAGAGGCACAACCCCCATCCTTGTGTGAGCCAGAAATCCAAAGTAATGTGCGACCTCAAAGATAGACAATAACTAACACTATAAAAGGAAATTAAGGCAGCACAATTTTCTTAAATGACTTAAAAGTTCAGGCTAGATGGATGTCAGAGTCAGCAAGATAAATAAAAACTAGCATATAGGAGACTGAGTTAGGCTGTTAGAAGAAAATACATCCTTCTTTCAATACATGTCTAAACAAGAGGAAAAAGGTGGATAATTAAAATTTAAAAGTATAAAAAAAAAAAATCTGAAAGGAGCAAAAAGTACCTGTGAAGAAAGTAAAGGCCTAAAAACCAAGTTATCTTCAAGTATATCTGCCAGGGAGATGCGCTCAGAATGCAGCTAGTGAAAGAGTTTCTCACGTCAGAGCTACTCTCCACAAGCAAAGTTAAGGACGGCTCACATGTACGTGTGTGAACACATACGGTAACAGAAGAGACTGAGCACCTAATAAAAAGGCAAAACTCCCCAGCTGTTAACTGTGGTATGTAACTGAATTTATCTACCAAATCCGACTAGTTTATATATAAGGATTTCAGGAAGACTGGGGAGATCCAGTAGTTAGAACTACTGACGGTGTGTTCGACTTCTGTATCAGTGTGCACTGTAATGAAGAAGTAGCAGAGCTGCTGATGCAGGGGCATGGGCAGCACCTTCTGTGGGGACAAGTCTCAGGTGTGCAGGAGCTCCTTTTAAGGAGCAAACAAGCACAGCAGCTGAGACCATGCCGTGTACCTGGATTTCCAAAATAGCCCTAGAAAAGGCTCAGGGCTACAACCTACTGTTGAGCTTCTATAAAATTGGTCTTTAGGCAAGTAAACAATTTCATTTAAGTACCAGCTTCAGAAGAGCCACAGAACACATCAGAGTGTACTGTTTGTGAAACAGATCTATGTATTACCTGGAAAAAGTATACATAAAAAAAACTGAACTCAAAACTCTCCTAAGTTTAGGGATACTGCCAAATGGTAGGGAATATAAATATATATTTATGAAAAAAGGCAAACAGAACATTTGCCATCATTAGGAAATGGGAAGGAACCGTACATTAGTAACAAGTGGCCCCACATCATATGACAGAATGGGTGGAAAGCTTGATGAAGTTATAGACAAGCTAATTGTAATGTAACCCTCCCACCCCTTTTCCACACTGCATCCACCTGAACCACGGTAGGTACATTTTTGGAGATAGAAGGTGCAAGCAAAATTTGCAGCAGCAGCCACATGTTCAGCCAGAGCTCCTGCCCCCACCTCGAAGCGTGCAGGGCGAGCACAGCAGGTACAGCCCCTCTCTTACCAAACTCTACCTGGAGGGCCTGTTCTGGGCCCCCAGCCACACGCCAGCCCTGGCCAGGACCCTGTGACAGCACTGTTCTTGGGGCCTGCACTTCAACAATAAGCTTCAACTCAAGTTTCACATCTTTTAATTTTCACTCTTTTCAAATAAATACAGTGAGTTCAGTAGATCCAGTTAGAAGACAGGAATGTGATGTTAAAGAAAAACTCAGAGTCCAATATATTAAGCATACTTATTTACTTAATCTATACAGAATCGAGTAGATAAAATTTCAGATTCACATTAGTGAAAAATCTCTACAAAATGTTTTTGAAAAGCAAAACAAAGACTGCCTGTTCATTTATCATTTATCCTCATGAAAGCAGACGTGGGTTGTAAAAATAAAGCAGTGTGTTTAGCACAAACTAGATTTCTGCATCACTTTTTTCACAGTTATTTCCATCTACAGTCCAAAGAGGTAGATTTTCTGCAACACCTGAGAATTGAACTGTAACGTAACCAGGTGTAATGAAAGGAAGGACAGAACGTGAAGAGATACAGCCCTAACTCACTCGTGTACGCGTACACGCATTTGGGTCTTGGGTCTCACACAATTTAGATTTTTGCAGCTTAATTGTGGTGAAACTGTCAGTCAGGCCCCGGAGTTCTGACAATCAGACACACCTATTCCAGGCTACATCAGTTTCCCGCCCAGGTTTGCAGTAGTGGGAGAAAGGCATTAATACAAGTTTACTTAAAACCCTACTGGAGCCCATTTGGCTGCAGACTGGCAGTGCAGTAGCCTGCTGTATGGCAGATCAGTCAGAGTGACGAGCTTCTTATCCCTTATTTTTTTAAAAAAAAAACACTTTTTTTTTTTTTTTAAACCAACACTCTTTAAGCAATGCACGGAGCAATGCATGGAACTGCATTTTCCTGAAACAGGCTGGTCTCAGAAGCAAAGTAGAGCTCACCTTGGCCAGAACAAATGATATACTATGGGTACGCTAAGGGTAGGAAAGAAAGATATCCCCAATTTAAAAGCTTGCCATCACTTGGGGCCTTCTGCTGTGTTTACACATTCAGTCAGTAACAAATATATTTGTATTGCTGTTCTATACATCTGTCAGGTCTCTAAAAGCCCTTTAAAATATTCTTGCAACAGGATCCAAACATTCACTCTAGCCTCCATATAGAACAAGCACTATAGAAAGAATTGTTGGATACAAATGCTCAAACAATAAACTGTAAAAATAGAAAACTGCATGTCCTACCTTGCCAAGGGTATGATGCATCCAAGTTTTTCACTTTTCCTCAGGAAAATTACTTCATGCTTAGTGTTAGCTGAAAACCAGTTCTTGCAACAACTATTTTTTGAACAGCTTGATCTATAAAGCAAGTGATTTGAAAAGCAAGTCTGAAATACTTCTTTCCAGTATTTTTTCATGCCCTATTAGCACAATTAACGTTTCAGAGCTCCGAGCCTACCCTGATTGACTGCTCATTGCTACCTCTTCATTCGCACAAAGCTAGAACGATGGCCAGCTTCCCACATGTTCCACCACTCAAAAAATGTCAGTTTTGCACAGTTCCTCTCAGTGGTGTGAGCGAAACCACATTTATTAGGCCTTGCATAACCTCACTCTTTCAGAGACAGCTGCATTATTTCAATGTACATTACTACAGGAAAAGAATCAGGAGCTCAGTGCAGCCTGAACATTCAAGTAATTTAGCCACTGAACTGCCAAGGGCAACGAGGGTGTGAAGCTCATTGAGAGATGTGCTTGATTCAGAAATCCCCTCCCAAGCAAGTGCAAAGAACTTTAAGTACCAAAAAACCCTACGCATGTTCTTATTTCTTAAGAATGACAGCAACCAAAATTAGAAAGTAAATACACAGGAAATAAAGTTAGGGGTAGCTTGTAGTTATTTCACATGTTGACTTGCCAAAAAATAAATGTTGGTCCTAGTTTCTTTCAGGAAAAGAAGTCAAAATGTGGATAATCAAATTTTATAGGAAAAGACTGTATGGTTTCAGGTTAACAAGGAAGCTTAGCTTGTTGGATGTTTGTGTAAGGATCTGAAGTATCATCTTTACCAGATAACTTAACTGGGAAGGCACTCTGCCAACTGGTACAGCTTTGAGGTGGAGTGTGCAAGAAATTCCACGTTGCATTTCAGGGAAAGTATTTGAAGCTACATGTTCAATCACAAGCAGTGTATGCTTTAACTAACGCCTGACAACTACACAGCGTAGAGGTCTGTCACAGACAGCCCAAGGCCACAGACCTCTGGTGCCACGTGCTTATATTCCAGCCCTTCAGATGATCCAGAGACTTGTCTAACCAGTCCTGGACTTGTCTGGTCAGGGTAACCATGCACTGGACACACTGCAGCCAAGGGGGAAGGTGGTGACTGACACTGTGCAGTAAGCTACACAACTGCAGAATTCCACTCGGGAACACTGCCGCACATTTTCTCAGGTGTTTACACTTCACATGTTCACAGGCAGGGCAAGTAGTCCAAACTAACCTTTACAACACAACCCTGAGAAGTCTGCTAAAAGTTGTACACCCTGTTTCACCAGCTGCAAAAGAATGTATTTCAAAGCTGTTTTTTTCATACCACAAAGTACATAAAACCCTTCAAATGTATCTTTTACTATATTCTGGACCTTTACTTTTTCATTCATATACATGAAAACATACTAGAGGGGAAAGCTGACTTTTTTTTACTGGCCCTTAGACAACCTTATGTAAATAAATTTACTGGAAAAAATGCGCAATCTTTAGTATACTGAGTGGCATATCAATGAACAAAACCAGAATGCTGTTCTTTAAACCAAAAAGGTGACCTGCTGCCACACTCTTCCCCGAAACGATGCTCTACCTGTACACAGTCTTCTACGACAGTGATTTGTGTTGAGGGGAGGAAACGCACATGCATCCTTTTATGGAAAAATATTTTCTTTTAAAAAATGAGGCAGATGTGCAACACAGTTGTGGAAAATTTATAGTTTAAGCTATTTAAAGCTGCTATGCAGCTTCCTGTACCACATAAGTCCAGTAGTTCTAAGAAAATACAGATATGGTAGAAAAAGTAAGAAAATTTTCACCACAAAACCAAATAGTTACCACCAACAGAGAAAGTTATACACAAAATATATCTCTCAATACAGTGTTTACACTTCATTTTAGTCTACAGATTCAGTGCCAGGATTGGGACTTGTTGAGACAGTCTTTTCAGAGCTGTTTGCCACACACGATCCCACATCGGGTTGGATTCCCGGCTCCGTGTCAGTGGGAGTTCCCAGCTCCTCGTGGGAATTGAGGGTGCAGGACTGCAACACCTGCACAGCTAGATCCACATCTGCTTCTCGGAGAGAAACCTGTTCCTTAAGGACTTCCACCTTCTCGTTCAGCTCATTCCTTTCTGTCTGAAGGGCCCTGCATAGCTTCTCCAAACGCTCCAGTTTTATTTGAAAGCCCTTGTATTCTTTATCTCTTACTGTTTTCTGAAGGACAAAAGAAAATAGAAGCTCTGTGATACAACTCATTTTTTCCCCCTTAAATTAGTTAAAAGAATCACAACCATTTAATCCTGAATATTAAGTCTTAATTAATCCAGTTGGTCAAATTCCAGCTGCATTGCAGCAAATTCCCTCAGCATACTCGACCACTACACTTCAGATGGTCTAAGCTGGAGTGGCAACAGAGACCTTCAGAAACAAGCAACAAGAACTATGTAACTATATAATGCTATTTTTAAGTGAGAGCTGAGTATCAGTGAGGATCCTGGTACGAAGCCAAAAAAACCAGTCAATTACAATCCAAATAATGACAACTCTAGGGAGCAGAAGAGCATCCACATGGGAAACCTACAGTCCAGCAGCAGGATCCAGGGCAGAAGGTACCATACTCATGGCTCTCCTAACCAGCTCCTTAGAAGAGCAGAGAAAGATAACAGAGAAAGATAAGCAGTGCCACAGTAGACCCTGTATGACCCAGCAAGGTCACACCTGACAGAGCTGAACCAGACCTCAGAGGGTGTAGGCAGAACTGTATCCCTGTGCCCTGGATGAACACTGTTGTAGCCCCTTTCTTACTGGACTACACTTAAGTAATGCCACCTCATGACCTCAAAAGCAGCAGCAGTGCAGGGAAGTAATTGATCCCTTCCACATGGGTTATTTCCTTCAGGTCAGTCTTACACATTTAAAATAGATTTCTGTTGCAGCACTGACTAAACTTTGCTCAGCCTATTAAAATGGAGTCAGTTCATTCAGCTTGTGAGATTTCATACACATCATCCCAGCAATTAAACAGTAAGCCACGAATGATGAGGCTGAATTTTGTGTCATGAGTTTAGGCGTATATAGCAGCTTTTTATTTTCCATGTCTGAGGAGAACAGTACTATTTACATAACAGAAAACATAAGGCAGACAATCCAAGTAGAGGCTACTGTGTATTATTTCCAGTTCACACATTTTTTCAGTTGTGGAGAAGTTCTCCAAGACACAGACTTCAGATTAGCCGTGCTGCTGCCTAAAAGATAATTACCTCTTCAGCCATTTGCAGAAGAGCCTTGTTGTTGTTCTCCCATTTTGTACGCCACACTATAGTTTCCTTTTCCAGTTTCTTAATCTTCTTTGTCATCTACAAAAGATCAATAGAAGACTTAATTTTGCGGCTTCTGTTGCAATGTAGGTAGGTTTACAAAAATAATTCAACTTCTTAGTGTTACTTTCCAAGTGCAGTTTGAACAAGGTATTTTATAGAAGTCTTTCGCACGCAATCAACCCCACAAATACAGATTTTGCATTTGAAGAAAACAAGATTGATTCTCAAAAGAAGCAGACTAGCAATCTTAAAGTACAACAAGAAGCTTGAGGAAAAGAAGTTTTAAAAGATAGGCACAGCAAAAAAGACTGAAAACTATTGTATGCCTTTGACAAAACAAAAATTGGGATTTAGAGATTATGAAAGCATGTTAAAACCCAGAAAAAATAACATTGCTCTTCTAGAATATGACCAATTCTTATGACCTACCTTATGATCCAAATTAAACAACAAAATATTCCATACAGTTTCAGACTGCAAACACTATTATAAAATCTAAAATGCATCCCACTAACAGCATGCATTTTAGTCCTATTTTTTATTAAACTAAATAACCCTGTAAGTACCTTCTCCATTTCTTGCCTGAAGGTTGTAAAAAGTTCATTACTTTTTGCCATGGTGGTCTGGAATTCTTCAAACTTATCCATATAAAGAGAAAGCTGTAGGAAAAGAAGGAGCAACATTAATCTGAATGAATACAGAAATATTAAGGTGCAAAGCAAAATTAAGCTCAAATACTAGAAGATTGATTTTTTTTTTTAAACTATTGTACAATTACATTTAAGCAGCATGCAGAGCTTGTCTGAAAACATGCTGTTCAGATTATACATATATCTATATAGGAGAGAACTATGTTTATAGAACAGTAATATATTCTGAAATAAAGAGGATATTATGTTTAATAAAGTATTGGCAAACATCATAGTTCATCACTATCATTTCTGCTTCCCCACTGAAAAAGGTCGTCTGTGGACAGATACATATACAGGAAATTCAGCACAAGATTAGTGACATCAAACTTAGAAAAGACCTAACTTTCCACGTTAACCAACCAAACCTAACAGCCAGGGCTGGGACAGAAAAAACACGATTCATTCCAGAAATCAAAATAAAGATTCACAACCCATGAAATATGCCCAGTAAGCAAGAATCATGGAATGTGAATATTGAAAAATTTAATAGTTAAAAGCATTACATTTCAACAAGTGAAAAGCATTAACACTTGATGACAAAGTCTTCTTGCCCTGCCCCACAAGGTCAGTTGTCAAGAAAAAATGGTGCAAAATATGTTAATTTTTTTAAAAAAAAGTAGGTTATGGTTCTTATGAAAATAAGTTATGCTACCGGCATGTGATGTTCTAAGAAAGCATGAACATTTACTAGTAACTTCTTACTCCAACTGAATAATAACCAGTTCTCTCAATTCTTCTGTTGGGGGTTACAGGACAATACAATTCAGAGCACAGAAATACTGTACTTTGCTCTAATAGTAAAGGAGATTTCATAACAAGAATTGGCCTAATTTGTCAACAGTACGTCATGAGACTCTGCCATTCTTGTCACTAAACTTTCTAGTGATGGCAAAAAAAAACTATTTGGAAGACTTGGGGTGTTAATTATTAAGTATGATTACATTTAATTATGCATATACACACACACTTTAAATATAACTGTTGGAAAGCCTGGAAAAGAATTAGGTACAATAAATATGAAAAAAGTGCATGAAACAGAGCTTGCAAGGAGACAATACAAACACCTCACAAAACTGAAACAATAAGAAAATATACAATAAAAGGAGTAGCTACTGCTTCCCAGATGAGATGATGTTAGCTGAACCTACTGTTTCCCTCTGCCTTGCGTACCGAGTTCACGTGTGGCCAATGACTGCAGGTGATGCAGAACCACCCTGCAAAAACTGAAGACCACCTCTGCACTCTCAGAGAGTATTTTGCTGTTGCATTTATAGCAAGAAAACAGTTTGAAGCCAGCAGTTTTTAGTGGATAGAGACACTCAGGTTACTAAATCTGAATAACTACAGGGATAAATGCAACGTTCCTTGCTCCCAGTCCTCCACAACAGGAGGAGATGGAAACTACTAGTAGAGAACAAATTCTAAAACCTGCCTGAGTGAGAAGTCCCCACCCAGCTCTCTAGTCACAAGGGCCTCTCTGGTCTTGAACAGCTACAAAAAAAAACCCCAAAACTTTGGAAGAGAGAACAAGAGTTTCAGAGAAGCCAAGAAATGGTAAAGTAGCTGCCAAAATGAAGAGATTTTTAATATTTCACATATTCTAGTCTTTGTAATATTAGTATCCTTTTAAATTAGCATTAACTCCAGCGATTCAATATTTAGCACCTTCCATCCATTAACATCCCTCTCCAGATGTATTAAAGAGCAAATACAAAGTCTTTACAATTTACACTTCACTATTGAAGAACTACATATTTAAAGTTAAGTTTAAGACTTAATTTAAAAAAAAACCCAAACCCAAGTACTTTTCACAAGTAGTGCATTGCATCTGATAAATGATAACATGTAATTTTTTTTCTATCTTGTGTTATGTTCACTACAATCCCAAATCCCTTGGTATTGTGTTTTTGGAACAACTGCTATCAAAGACCACCTGATTAAAAAAAGATACCTGCTGCTTCAGCTGAGCTTCCTGTTGCTTCATCTGTTCACATTTGTGTCTGGACTCAGTAGCTTCTTTTAGCAGCTAAAAACAATGCAAAAGATCACATAATGAATAAAGTACTCATAAGAACGTCTTAACTTGATCTATGATGAAAAATGAACTAACATTAACTTCACCTATGGACCATTCAACTGTGTTTTCTCACATGGGCTTTCTATTCCTATCCCCTACATTCACAGATATGGTTTAAAGCACGTGCTGGCATGCAGAAATTTGTTGGGACATTTTTCTAATTGGCAGCAGGAGTCAATGTTTCTATTTCTGAAGCAAGTTTGAACAGCTAAATTCATATGAGAAGTTCATTAACAAATTGTGATTTGTAACCACTTTGTAGCCTCTCTACTTTATCTTCCACCTCCACTTCTTCAGCAACTAATATTACCTTTCCAGAGCAGTTCAAACCAATTTTGCCTCAACTTGATACCTTTTTGTAGGTTCATCTTTGAAGACACTTTCATCAGCTTCACAACTCCAAAATTAGGTTTTAAAAATATAGAACAACCCAACCACAGATGATCTTTAAGTTTATCCAGGAAAAGCAAAGAAAGCAAGGCTTTTTTGCCTAGAAGTTACAGACACATAAGGAGAATTAAACAAACCCACAATCTTCACCTATGTATTATTTTGCAATTGGAAGCAAACTTCTTGGAAGACTGAAAGTTAAGTTGCTGATTATCAACATACAAATAAAACAGCAGGTGTAGTTTTGCAGACAGACAGCTCACAAGAGCATATGCTTTCTTCTGCAATTGTTACTTCTTATAGTGTAAAAACAGAAGTGACAACTTTTGACCACAAGGAAGTACCTTTGGCGTTTCAGCTCAAGACATTTCTCAGTCTGAGAAAAATCTAAATGATACCCAGCACATTTGCTGAGAAAATTCCAACAGTAGCATTACTTGCTTGTAAATACAGACATTAATATTTTAGGCATCACATATGTGCAAAACTTAAATCTCAGTCTCACTGTTGAAAAAAAATCTATTCTAACTTTCCAGGGACAGTCCTCTGCATTTGCAGGATTCACTTTTGATCATGAAAGATCTAGTTTGTTGGGTTTTGTTATTTCTCTTAAGTAACACACAGAATTCACTTACAAACTCCCTTTCTCGCTGATGTTTTTCCTCTGCCTCTTTAATAAGTTGGGTAGTTTGCTGAAGTTTGGCATCCACAAGCTGCTGCTGCAGTTCTTTATGTTTAAACACTTTATCAATATGCTAAAGGAGGAAAGAAAGTTGTCTTAGTCAAACAAACAGTCCATTGGTCAATTAAGGTAAGCATACATGTATGGGGACATGCATATTCTTTGTCAGCTTCATGCAGAAGAAGTGGCAAGACTGCTTTATGTTCCTTCTTTCTTCCTGTATCTCCATACGTCATAGCTACGCTTCGTTTGTCTTTCACAGAAACCAGCTGTGTATTTTATTAAATTGGTACAATACTGTCAGTCACTTCACACCGGACACTTCAAAAATCCTGTAACAAGCACTCTGCATCCTTTCTTCTAACAAGTACCTACAGCTAATCCTTATCTTACTTTGTTACTTTTCTAAAAAGACTAGTCCTCATAATTAAGAAAACTCAAAATGAGGAAAGTTTGCAACAAGTTTATTTAGCTGATGAAATTCCACAAATCATTGAATTTTGCAGTCTTACTTGCACCTGTAAAGTAGCACAAGACAGCTTCCTACTTTTTCTCTTCCCTAAATTATCTCATGGATAGAAATAGTCCTTGATTGCAAAAGGCAAGGAACTAGTCTAAAGAGACCTAACTGATCCAGTTAAAAAAAAAAGTCAAGAAACCCAACAAAACAACTAAAAACCACCACCACCACAACAAAAAACGAAACCAAAAACCACAACAAAAGAAACAATTGAGAAATTATATTCCAAACTTTATGTGCCAACTAAGAACTAGCAAACTACTCTTAGCTGTAGAACACCTCTGAACCTTAGCTCTCTCTTTGACATGGAGAACTGGCTGGTTTACAATACTGTAACTTAGACTGGCTAGCTGCTATCCTGGTGCCAATTAAAGCTTGCTAGCCCTATAACAGTCTTTTCCATGACACCAGTCCAAATATATTCTTAAAACATAATAGCTTACTTTAGCTCTTCTCATTGGCATAGAACCACATGCAAAAAGGAGCTTCCCCAACTCCCCCAAACTTAGTGAACCAAACCAAACAAGACAGATAATTAACTCTTATATTCCCTCCCACTATAATGAGAAGGTCTAATAGAAGAACTTCAAACATTGATACATATTTATGTTGGAAAAACCTCTGGAAGCCATTTAGTCCACTCAAAGCAGGGTCAACAACAGAGTCTGATCAGGCTGCTTACACCTTGCCCAGCTGAGTTCCAAATACCTCTAAAGACAGAAATTCCACAATCTCTGGTCAACTTATTTCTATTTGATCACTTTCACTGTGAAGGATTTTTTTCAATGCATCTTGAATTTAGATATGCAAAACCAGACAGGAAAGGCAGATTGCTGGTAAAAGAGCTACTTAATTTTTCAGAGTAGTGAAGTATAAAGAATAATTTAAAATATATGTGTATATACATTTATACACATAATAGCTGTAAGATATCAGGGGGTTTTCTCCCCTTTAAGTAACTGATCCTCAGTCAGAGAGCTAACAGAATTCCACTAGAAGCACCATGTGAGCACCTCTTCTCTCAACGCGTACTGCTCAATGAGTTTCTTCAGCTTCTCCCCCAGCTCAATATTCTCCTGACGGAGCTTGGCGTTATGGACGTCGTGCTGCTCCAGCTGAGCCTGGATCTCATTCAGCGTGATCTGGAAGTGGGCAGTTGCTTCCTTCCGCCTTTCCTCTTCTTCGCGGGCTTGCTGCATGTTCTCTTCCTTTCAAGAGAGAATATTAATGTGTTTAAGACAAACCATGCACCTTTGTCAAAGATTTTTGTGTCAGAAACAAGGGGAATAATTCAGTTCTGTACAGTTTGAAGTTCTAGAGTGATAGAGTTAATATAAGCCACAACCATAATACACTGTGCTGACTACTCACATGACACGTACGGAAGGAAGAATCTAAAATTCCAAAACAGAGATTCTGGGTGTTACCACCACCAACGTTACTCACAGGCTGGTATTATAAGACGCTACATTAATACCCTCGCAAGCATAAGAATAACCCAGATGTTAAAGTGTGGACAGTACAATGAAATTTCCTACAGCTATCACAGCTAAGAATCTCTTGGCTCTCTCCCATTTCACTCTCATCCCTTATATTCTGACAGAATTAAGCCTCATGCTGCTCTTATTTCAGTTTTTCTATTTTTCTCAGCAGTTATCAGCACTGTTCCCAGAAACAAATACAGCCAGTAATATGAACCAGCTTGAGGGGAAAAAAAAAAAATTAGCAAGTTGAACTATCCCCATATTCTTTACCCTAAAATTATGTACACTTAACGCCACATGCCATGCATCTTCTGTGGGTACAGGTAACAGGCAAAGGGGTAAGTAAAAAGCAGCAGTCTGATTTTAAGCAGTAATCAGTACGTAAGATTTCCACCACCACTAGCATTGTAATTTATGTAAATAAACCAACCTTCAAGGTCTTGTTATGACGCTGAAGCTCCCGACAGAGAGATTCCAGTTTGCTACGTGCCAAAATGGCCTTGCTATGCTCACTCTGCAAGTGGACTTTCTCCTTCACAACTTGTGCTTGCTTCTTCTGTAGTATCTTCATCTGCTTTTGAACATTCCGGCTCTCCTCCAACTAACATTAAAGAGTGTATTTATCAAATAAACAGAGATGAAACTGTCTTTGTGCATCTAGATAAGCAGACTGAACAAACTTTTAAATATTTCAGTTGAAAGGAAATGAAAAAATTTCATTAAGATCCCCAAGTTTCTCTTTTAAGATCAACTCCCATCATCCTACAGACAATTCTAAATGGGTGAGGAGAGAAGACTAAAATATATAAATGCCAACTCAACAAACATTTGCCTTTGCAGAACAGGGACCTGTTGACCATGGGCTATCAGCTTGCATTTGGTTACAGGGGTAGGACTAGCCCTGAGAAAAGAGGATGTGGCAGATACAATTAAAAGCCAACTGAGACTGGTCACAACAAGTCACAACTTCTTCCACTCTGTTATCTGTAAGGTACACGAAGCTGTTATCAAACAGGTCTTGTTTTTACTGTCAAAAACACAAACCCACAGAACTGCGTACAGAGCTCTTTCTTGTCAGCTGGAGCTCCTACCAAAGGAAGCAGTAATTGGTACAAGTTTGCAAAATGTTAAGGTATTTCAGAAAGCAACAGATAGAACTAGTGGCCCTGACAAATCAAGTCAAATACTATTAAAGCTGCACAGCCCAGACTTTTATGACTTAATCTGTAGTCTCAACCATTTGAAGCAATTTTTTTGTTTTCTTTAGGCTGTTTAGATGGTAGATGACAGCATAAATGTGGTATACAGTGCTGACTTCAAAATCTATTCTATGAACATGCAGTGAATAGAAGTTTCTTGCATTAATATCTAGTTGACAGCAAGTTCCACTATACATGATTTTTGGGCTCCCTGAGAAACCATATTATTCAGAGTCTGTTCTATTTTAAAGAAGGCAGCAATGTTCAGTGCAACTCTGTTCCTTATTCGATAGTGCCTCGGCCTCAGGGCACCACAGGAAAAGAAGGCTGGCAACAAGGAACATCAGCATGACAGAAAAATAGTAATACAGTGCTGGTTTTCTGAAAGAGCTCAAAATAATGCTGAAGCACAGAATAAAGAATAAATAAAGTTAAGGACCTCCATAACAACAGTAAATTAAATATATATTGAATCTAATTAAAATAAAAAACGAATGTTACGGGAGTATTTTGATATCCAAACAGAAAAAGCCCTTTTCTTGCATGGCCAGAAAAAAAACACACTTCAAGTGGCTATGCTGTCTGCATAACTATGAAACTTCAGGCCTGTAGAACTATGCCAGCATGAGACATATCACCAAGGATGCAAACCTTCCTGCATCACAAACTGATCTCCTGATAGATTCCAAATCAGAAAAAAAAATATTGTGGAATATCTTTTGCCAGGAGAGAGTCATTCCTACCTTTATTGTACAGTCCTTTTCATGAGACACCACTGAAAAACCTGACAGTGAGCTTTAAAGATGATGAATCTTTAAAAAAAGAAAAAGAGCATTGTAGGTGCACTGTCATAAACAGTTCAAACCTCTGCTGGCATTAAAGCTGACACCTATGCCAGTGGTTCACCACCACTATAATGAAGAAAAGAATGCATCTTAACAGGAACACAACCAGATCCAACCTAAACTTTCTAAGGAGAACGAAGTACTTCTAAGACTCATTCAGCTAAAGCAGATCTACTGTTACACCCAGACAAGCTCCCACCCAACTCCCCAGCAGCTCTCATCATCATGGGGAAAGCAACTGGTTTTCTAGGATGGTGACTATCTCATGAATGCTCACTCTACCTATAGACCACGGATGCTCTCCAGGGAGGGGGGAAAACAACCTGTAACGTGAACACATCTCTCCCGATTGCCATGCTTCTTGAAGAAAACTAATTCATTTGGTCTACTCCCTAATTGTTTTGAGAGCATTTCTTCAACAAGAAAACTCAAAGTGCAAATGGTGCAGACTTTTCTTTCTGCAGAAGTGTGGAATTCATGCCAACCCAGCTCCTCCTGCAGGCCATCATCTCCACTCTGATTTGACATGGGAGCTGTTCATTCAAAAACAAAAGGCATCACATGCACAAGCAATTGCTTCCAAGAACCAACTCACATACTGCACTTTTCTCTCACAAGATCAAAGCTCATTTTTAGGTGGATGTCCCATCCTTGAGTTGCACTATTGTTTCTCTTTTAAATGGGAAGTGACTTCTCAGAGAAGCTGATGGTTGTGATGGAAATTCACTGATATGAACAACAGTGTGCATGTGAGAGAGAGCAAAGCAAAAAAAGCAAAAATATAGCAGACCTCCAAGGAGGACTCAGGATTTCCTAAACAGAACTAATCTAAATCTATCCTTAAGTAATCAGTATTGCCTCTCTGAGTAAAAAGACTACCTGCTAGGTCATCCTCAAAGCTCTGGAGACATTATTAATCTCAAAGGAAAAATTAATTTCAGAAGAGTTATGCCACGTTGTGCAGCCATTATGTCATTTTCAGAAACATTTCCATGTGTAGTACACTTGACATCTACAAGAGGAAAACACTAGACTTTTGTCAGGCTATTCAGTTACCTCTCTAGTTTTGCATTCATTTTATAACTACAAATATGATGGGGAAGCACATCCACACAGTATTTCCAGACTTTCCATTCTTGTCTATCCCTGTGTCAAGATGAACAAGTCAGGCATTTTTCTCCCCAGGCACACTCTGAAAAGTGAATATAAGCCTTTTACCCCCCACCCCCATTTTGCCATCAATTTAGAAATAAATTACAATTTCTCTTCCACGGTGTGGGAATGTACTCTATGATGAATTACTGCTAATATTTTACCTTTTTTGTTTGCTACTGAAGAAATGTATACTTTTTCTATCCATTTATTTGCCCGATCAGAAAGCACAAAATAATCAAACCCACATTTTTCCAACTTCCCCTACCCTCCAAAAATCACTGAACGATTAAACAGAAGTGATTTTTTTTTTTCCAAATCTGGTGTCACAGTATGGTCTTTCCTTTTATCCTAAAGGGTATAAATTGCAAAGTGTTAACACAAAAGCATTATCAACAGACAAAAGCTAAGAAAACAATGATTCTCAAAAGAAACTCTTAGCTTTTCTGTCATTCCTAGTGTTATGGTCCAACCCCAAGTTAGCATAACATATTTTTATTTTGGCTTTAGGCAGTCATGTAGAAGTGAAGTGACTACATGCAAGTTTGGCTGAAACAATACTCGTAACAAGCCTTGACCATCTTTGGGTTTTGTGCTTTGGTTTGGTTTTGTTCTTTTTTCAACAACACTAAAATATTCAAAATCGTTAACTGTCTTGTATTAGAAGTTCTTGCATTCCACAGTTAATATTAACACATGAATAACTCCTGCCATCTTTACAAATTACTTACCAGATCAGCATACTTCTTGCACAAAGCTGCCAGCTTTTCCTCTGGAGTAGAAAGTGTGTTCAAGGCTTGCATTAATAATAGCACTTCTTTTCCTATGCATTGGATGAAAGACAACAATATTGAGGAAAAAAACAACATAACAGAGAAGCAGCCTGTCTTTAAAAGTAAAACATAAACCTGTGAGATAGCAGTGTCAGTTTAGTTGTTCTCTAGTTTGCTAGCTGCATAATCCTAACAGATGACAAACAGGAAGTCATCACAGTAAGAATAAATTTATCTTCCCTATTACTCAACTTCAATAGCAACAGTTACTTTAATCTTAAACCCACAAAAATATTTTTATCATTTATAATAGCAGAGATAAAACAGAAAAATATGAAGGAGTGAAATTTAAGAGGTTAAGCTTTGCTAACAATGGATATTCACACAAGTGTTTTTAATAGGCCTTTGGAATTTAAATATTAGCAGTGCTTTGGTAGCACTGAACAACACAATCCTACATTTAAAAGTTAATCCAACAACCAGAAAGTTAAAAAAGCTGATTAGTAATTACCGCATCATCATTATTATTATTAAAGTTCCTGTAAAAATAGCATCACCAGCTGAAGGATTCTTATATACATGTTAAGAACTGTCTTTACCT